AAGTGAGTCCCATAAAGGTAAGGACGTAATTTAGTAATTGCCCACACAACAGCCGAGCATTCCCGTTCGGTAGTAGTATAATTTCGTTCGTATTTTGTCAAAGTTCTACTGGCATAGGCAATGACACGTTCGGCACCAGATACGGTTTGAGCTAAGACTGCACCGATACCATGTCCGCTGGCATCCGTTCGAATCTCAGTAGGCGCGCCTTGAACGAAGTGATCAAGGATGGGGACTGAGGTCAGTGCAGCTTTTAAGTTTTGAAAGGCCGCACTCTGAATAGAAGTCCATTGAAATGATACGTTATTTCGGAGGAGGCTGTTTAAAGGCTCGGCTATGTGAGCAAAACCGGGGATAAATTTGCGAAAATAAGTGCAAAGTTCAAGAAACGTACGTACGTCTTTTGTGTGTTTTGGGACTGGAAATTCTGTTACGGCCTGGACTTTATCTGGGTCAGGACGCAGACCATCAGCACTGACAAGGTGTCCTAAAATTTTGATCTGGCGGGCTCCGAACACGCACTTCTTTGAATTCAGTTGCAAAGTGGCTGTTTGAAAGCAGTCGAGGACTTGACGTAGACAGTGTAAATGTTGGTCAAACATCGATGAAAAGACGATAACGTCGTCCAGATAGCAGAGACATATGGTCCACGTTAGTCCCCGCAGAAGGGTGTCCATCATCCTTTCGAAAGTTGCCGGGGCGTTACATAGGCCGAACGGTATCACGTTGAACTGGTACAAGCCATTGGGTGTAATGAATGCTGTCTTAGGCTTGTCAGTGTCGGCGACAGGTATTTGCCAATAGCCGGATCGGAGATCCATGGAGGAAAAGAAGGAAGACCCCTGGAGGGTATCTAATGTGTCGTCAATACGAGGTAGTGGGTAAACGTCTTTTTTTAGTAACGCTGTTCAAGCGGCGGTAATCCACACAAAAACGCCAAGAGCCGTCCTTTTTCTTAACGAGTACAACCGGAGAAGACCAAGGGCTTGAAGAGGGCTCTATTACATTCTTGTGGAGCATATCAGTAACATGATTGGCAATTGCGTTTCGTTCGGCGGCGGAAACACGGTATGGGCGGCTCCGAAGTGGTGATGCGTTACCAGTGTCGATGGTATGATGAAGCACTGTAGTCTGGGCTAGTGGACGACTATTGAAATCGAACAGCTCCTCGTATGTAAGAGTCTTGTTAGGGCGTCTCGTTCGCAGGTTGTTAGACTTGGGTCAGTCATCTGAGTAATGCGGGTTGAGATGTCACTTTTTGTGTTCAGGAGGACAGGTTCGGCCTCGGAAACGTCAGAGAGAGTGGCTAAGGTGTCCTGAAAATGTCGTCGTAGCGTGGCTAGGCGTGTACCTTGACAAAGAATTTGTGGCTGGGCGGAAACATTTGTTGCGAAGAGGCCGATGCTTCCGCTTCCCGTGGGGACAATAGAGTAGGGAATGATGACAGGGTTTTTTTTCGGCAGTGGTTTGCATCGGCTCGACGAGACCGTACGGCGCTTCGAAGGGCTGTGAAGGCTTGAGAGTGACAGCGACAACAGACAGTAGAGGTATTAGATAGTCATCATCTGCGTGGAGGGATATAGGAGCGTCGTCATGGGAGTCTTCACATCCGGCCGAAGAGTTGAGGTGAATTTCTCGTTTAGAACAATCAATGAAGGCGTCCGTAGATGACAGGAAGTCCCAACCTAAAATTATATCCAGGAGACAATTGCTGAGCACGGTAAAAACAACTGTGTAGAAGCCGCCGCCCAGTGCAAATGAGAGGGTTGAGCAACCAATAGGTTGCACAAGGTCGCCGTTTCCCATACGTAAGAAGGTTCCTGAAGGGGGAGTGAGCACTTTGTGCAAGCGACGGCGAAGTTTATCCGACAGACATGATTTTGCGGCCCCAGTATCGACCAGGGCAGTAAACAGCTGATTTCCAATTGTAACAGTGACTGTAGTGGGTCCGAGAGAGGGAGGCTTTGGAATGGTTCGGGGCTGCGCAGCCTGACCTCCAGTGTCAAGACAGGCTGCCTTCTTTAGTATGACGGTTGGCTGGCGGCGGGGCCATTGTTAAGTGGAGAGACGGAACGGGGGCGTCGAGGATACGGCGATGGTGAGCGGCCACGGCGGGTGTCATACGCAGAGTAGGAGCCCACGGACCGGCGATTGTCGAAAGAGGGGCGGTCCTCGGCGTTGGCGGCGGGGCGACGGTTGTTTGAGAAACGGTTGTAACTGCTATCATCGATGCGGCGGTGACAATAACGGGCTATGTGTCCTGGTATATTGCAATAAAAACAAACCGGGCGGTCATCGGGTGTTCTCCAGGCATCCGTCCTTCGGAGTGGTCCATTTCTCTGTGGACGGTATGAAGTTGTGTCCGGTGGCGTGCTTGAGTAGCAGCGAGTAGTGTCTGGCTGCATAGAGCAAATCGGAGTAGGGGTGTGCGGTGCCGACGTGTAGACGGATGGAGTCGGGGGGATTGGACGGAGTGCAGCACGGAGTTCGTCTTGCACAGATTTTCGAATATGCTTTAGCTCGGTGTTAAGAGATGGGCCATCAGCAGGCGAGTGAAGAGACCGGAAGAATTCACGGAGCTCATCGCGAATAATGTCTCGAATGAGTCCCGGAAGATCAGCAGTCGTACAGGCATTCATTAATGATACCTCAGGAAGCCGCTGAAATAGCGTCGTAGATATGCGACCACTCCGAAGTTCTTCGTATTTTCGGCATTCTTTGATGAGGGTTTGGACTGTTGGTGGCGACTTAGGAGCAACGATGGAGAATAGCTCTTGTGACAAACCTTTAAATATGTGACGTATTTTGTCTTGTTCGGTCATGGCAGGATCAGCACGGCTGCAGAGGCGAATGACGTCTTCGATGTATCCAGTTGAAGATTCGGAGACCGCTTGGTAGCGGCGAGCAAGCTTGTCTTGTGCTCGCTGGCGGCGGCTCTCAAGCTTTCCAAAAACCTCTGAAAACGCTGCTTTGAAGCCATCCCACGAGAGGAAGTCTGCTTCGTGGTTGTCGTACCACTGATAAGCGGTATTCGTCAAAAAGAAAACGACGTTGGCGAGCTTTAGGGTATCATCCCAACGGTTGTGGTCGCTGACGCGATCATAAGTCTTCAACCAGTCGTGCACATCTGCGTCATGTGCGCCTGAGAAGTTGGGGGGGTCTCGTTGGCGTGTTTTGACCGGTCGATTGATAGTGCTGGCGTTTCCCGTTTCGTCAGGCATGGGGCGAGAGGTAGAGCGTCCACTGCGCAATTCCAAGGCAGCAGACGGGGTTGTGAGGTAGGAGAAAGCTTGCTTACCTCCACCACTTGTTAAGATGTTGGAAAACGATGATTTAATGCTGGATGAGATTTACAATGCGGTTTGTAAATCGGCGGTTGGGGTCAGCACGCTCAAAATCCTCGAGCCCTCTCGTTCGCTTTTTGCTGCACGCGCCCGTCGTCCTCTTCTTTTCCTAACAATATATATATATATATATATATATATATATATATGGTGTTTCAGAGAACGCAGGCCAAATCGCTCCTGCGAAAACCACTCATCGCAACGAAAAAAGGCTCGTGGCGTTGTGGTCCTGGGCCAGGGGCCCATTTAAGAAAATAATTAAAGTCCGAAATAATTAACTTGTTAATTATTTTCGCCCAATTAACTTTTTAATACTGTGTTTAGGGGCATGGTTTTAATTAGAAAATTGCTCAGCATCATCGAAAACCACTAAACCAACAAATTTCAGAACGATATAAGGCACGTGAAGCATTTTACGGCTTTCTGAAAAACCGCACAAATCCGACGGGTTTTTAAGTTTCGGTTTGTTATCGGAGCGCATATCGGCCCCGGCAGCATCGCGCCCCGTGGAAAGATGGTGCAACCAGACTCTGTTGCGTCGCGCAATGACAGCGCAGCAGAGGTTGGTTGCACTATCTCTCCAAGGGGCGGTGCTGCCGAGGCCGAGGTGCGCTCCGATAACAAACCGAAACTTAAAAACCCGTCGGATTTGTGCGGTTTTTCAGAAAGCCGTAAAATGCTTCGCGTGCCTTATATCGTTCTGCAATTTGTTGGTTTAGTGGTTTTCGATGATGCTGAGCAATTTTCTAATTAAAACCATGCCCCTAAACACAATATTAAAAAAGTTAATTAGGTGAAAATAATTAACAAGTTAATTATGCCGGACTTTAATTATTTTCTTAAATGGACCCCCGGCCCAGGACCAGAACGTCAGAAACCTTTTTTCGTTGCGATGAGTAGTTTTCGCAGGAGCGATGTGGCCTGCGTTCTCTGAAACACCCTGTATATATATATATATATATATATATATATTGTTTCACACTTCTTGCTTTGTGATTCCCTTTTCGGCGTGCTTATCGCCCAGTCCATCTCTCATGTGCTGCAGAGCATTAATAATATGGTCGAACACACCACGCCGTGTTTTTTTAGCTGTCAGTGTCCACTGGGCTCGCTTGAAGTCTGGCTTGACACCGATCGCCTGCTTCAGTGTCTTGACTTTGTATATTCTCCAACTTGCATCTTGCGCGTTCACACACAATCACCTCTGCAACAACCGGCGCGCTGCTAACTGTACTCATAAACGAAATAGTACTTTTCTTTACAAACATACTTCAGTTACACCTTTTTTAATGTGACACTGAATAAAAATAAGAACCACCTCTCCGTGAACCACTTCCACAAAAGCTACACAGTAGCAAACCAGAGCACAATAAAGTACACTGACCCTTCGCACATTGCAAGGGAGGTCACGTGAAACCAGATTCTGATTGAGTCATGTCACCTAGATTGTTTTCAAATATATAGCAACCACGTAGAATATTTTGGTACAGATCAATCTGATAAACTTTTCTCAGCGCGAACAATAAATAGTTGTCATTCGATGTCGGATTTATAGTGAAAATTGCCGTCTTGAGTTGCACGTACGAATTGTGTTATCTGATTAACAACCACATATGAAGTTAAACTGCCTGTTTGTATTGCTTATACTCCAATTAGGCACGACGATTATGAATGCCTGCGAAAGAGAACGCTTAGAAGCGATTTATCAACCGACAGGCTACCTGGCAGTGTTACGACTCCAAACGAAACTTGTGAAATGAATCTTCGAGCCTTCAATCGTTCTGGTGGATATCATGAAGATAAGGTAACAATTGCATAATATATATATTATACGTATATTTCCTTTTTACACGCGCTGAATGAATAGACATGAACCCGAATTTAGTAACGTTTTTTATTTGGACGCGTCGAAAAGTAAGTAAACAGGAGAAAAGATGCTTATATGCCCTCGCCCGATTCTCTCAAATTAAGCTCGCATATCTAGATATCAGCGTATCCTAAGTAAAATGGCGCATTGCAATTCGTGAAGGTCTTAAACTGAATATGAAAATAATATTAAAACATAATTTCTCTCTTCGTAAATTGTGGGAGACAACTTTTAGGAAAACTAAACTTAATTAAAACGCATAATAATCTAGGTTCACAGATTTTGTCAATCAGCAGAGACATATTTTTATTGCCCTACAGTAGCATAAATATATATAGATATATCCTTAAACTAAATCAGGCACAGTCCATATACCAGCAAGGAGATATTTATATAGGCAGGATTATATTCAAACATAAGACTTTAGAAATGTGAACGTTTACAAACGCAATAAAAAATGTAACTTCTATGTTTATCTTAAGGTGCAACCTCACTGTGCAGGCCGTTTTGCTTAATTTTTGACGGTGCATACCTTTTTATCATGCTATAGTCATAAAAATAATGTGAAACTAAAGAACAGTCCTTTATGACTGTACTTTATTTTCTCGATACAAGGTTTCTTCTAATATATGTTAGTTTATTATTTAGCTTTTAATAAAACAGAGTCTTTCATATTCAACATTTTTTTTCTCGAGTTACGAAGTCCCAACGTACAGGAAAATTTATGTCAAAGGCCCGTTGGATATAATATTTTTTTTTTTAAAGTAAGCGATAAACTGTACCAAGAATGTAATGTTAAAACAAAAAATAAAGTTTCAACTTATGTTATTTCGTAGTGCTCTAAAAACGAAATTACGTCAACTAACGCATATAACGAGACATTAAATTACAATTCCTCTTTCGAAATTACAGTTTCCAGAAACTGAATATCGATATATTACACGTTAAATTTAGTATGCAATCTCAAACTTTTCCCATTCACTTACGGCAATTTGAAGTTCTGTACTATGAAATACAGATGTTGACTCCTGTTCAAGAATGGCTTGATTCACATTTGACGTCATGTGCCGCTTGGAACATTACGCCACATGATAGACAGAAACGGAGCTAGAGATTTGTGTGTTTAGGTGCCTGGGCGCCCGCAGTGAGCGAGCCAGGAATGTTAGAACAACAAGCGCGAGGCTGCAGGTGAACCAGAGCTAATTTTGTGCGCGTTCCATTGTGCCTCGGCACGCCCAAATGAAATGGACGCCATGAAAGGAATTCCGGCGGTCGCAATTCAACCAGGTTTGCCTAATAAACTTTTTTTTCAGCAATTGCCGAATTGTTTTTTGCAATCCCACTAACTCCTTATAATGGTGCGACGATACTTTGTTTAATAGCCGTCTCGGTGGCATTTAAGCGGGAATAATATATAAAAGAGTATCGTTGATTCTGAGGCAAAGCTCTGGCCTACGGATCCGCGCTTGGCGGGATCCTATCTCGGCCGAGGAGCCCGTGATCCGTTGGAGGCCTATTACTGAGAAGGCCCCGCGGCAACGGATACTTTAGTTGTAACTCAAAAGATCTCCATTTAAACAAAAAATTAACAAGTGTTTTTTTTTTTTTTTTTTTTTGGTAGGTGCGAGATGTTTTTCGTTGGTCACTTCAGTCGTATTGGTACTTAAAATCATTGTTATCAGCTATTTGAAGCTTCATCATAAATTGCAGGAAAGTTTTTTCCGTCCTCCAGAAACGGTCGAACAGTTCACGAACGAGCAAAACGACGTCACCTGAGCCTGCTACCACCGTGTCTCAAGCTGAGAAAGTCGCCTTTTTAAAATCTGATGATCGACAGTTACGTCTGCTTTGCTCAAAGCACCAAGATGGCGGTGCCCACTAGCAGATCGGAGAACAAAGTGCCGCACTCTAAGCGTAGTTTTTATACTGACTCTAGCTTGACCCTAAGATCGGAATATTAACTTTAATTTACCTTAGATAGGCGGATGAAGTCAATCGAAAAGCGCAAAGAACGCACAATCATGCATTTTTTTTTAGCGTTTATCGTCTAAAACGAGTGCAGTGAATACGCCTTGACATTGCGTATTTAGTGTGCGTGTTCACGTTTTTTTTTAAATATATTTTTGGGAGCGCTCTGACTTCTGAAACACCGCATAGTTCTCGGAGTTCTGGGAAAGTAGTATAAATTTAAAAATTATCCTATTCATTTGAGGGAAGAAAAGAAAACGAAAATTAGAACAGTTGCAACGTTTCTCATTGTTATATTTCTGATTGTCAAATTCACAATACCCGTAGCAATGTTGCTTGTTCACTTTGAATCAAGCAAAAAAAGCCACAACTGTTCTGGAGCGTTTTCGTTTTTTTATTGTAATTTTTCATAGTGAACATTTTTCTTTATATGTTGCCACAAAAATGTATTCATCATTTGTACTCTACATCGCAATTTTGCGACTTCAGGTATTTTCATAGCTGCCTCGTAGACAACGAGGCGAAGCGGAGGCCTACAGATCCCCAGTTAGTTCTAGCGATCCCCAGACCTGCAGCGATAATACCTAAAATTTAAGCGTCTGATCATACCCTTGTGGCATTTCCGATCAAGACTGATAAAAAAAGAACATTAGTATGCTGTACTGGCGGCTAGCTCTTCGTTAGCTCAGTTGGTAGAGCGCTTCGGCACTCATGGTGAGTTCCCTGGATCGATTCCTGGACTAGGCGGATATTTTCAGCGGAGACAAGTCGCCTAGTGAGTGGAGTGTACTCCATATGAGGTTCAAGAAAATATATTCAAGCGTAAATCTGTTCCACCTTAAGGATTTCTCTTAAATTAGTAAATGTACTTCATATTGCAATTGTGTGGAATATTAACAAGGATAGGGAACTTTACGTGGTACGGCTCAGCGCATAACTTATCTCTCGAGTGCACTAGGGCGCTCACGCCCGTACATCATATAAAGGTGAAAACATCTTTAATAATAAATTAACTAATTTCGTCTTAATGAAATGAAATTTGTCTTATCTAAATGTGCGTTATATGGTATCAATCGCTTGACCTTGAAATAATAATTTCTGCATTTGAACTCGCGTACAGCCTGCTAGTTGGCCAAAAAAATGTTTTTTTCATTTGATTTTAAAGCGGTAAGGTGGTGGTATGGGGCTCAAAAAAGAAGCAGCAAGTTCGTGTAAGGCAGTACCATTTCTTTTCAATTGAATGTCAATCTTAGATTTATAACCCAATATGTATCTCTGTAAGGGTTAATCTATTCCTCTTTATTTATTCCTTTCTCTTTTTTCCTCTTCCTCTTTCTTTCTCTCTGTCTTCCTACCGGTATGTGTGCTTTTGTGCAGACGCATACTTCTTGTGCTTGTTTCCTTCCTTAGTGTTCCAATTTGTTTACAGAGGATACCACAGAACTCAGCGACTTAAGTGGAAAGTAAAAACAAAGCTCACATTTCCGATTTGCTTAGAAGAATACCATACTTTGCTCCTTTTCATCCTGATATTTATAATTTTTTGTTTAGCTATTTATTTTAATAAAAATAAAATAAACGCACATGAAAAGCATTTTGTCGCAAACAAACGATGAATAAAAATATTTTTGGTACTATCGTTTTAGAAAAAGTAATTTTTATATTATCACAGTAAAACTGGAGTACTTCCAATCCCAATTTCAATTATGCTTAAAACCACGCTTTAAACCATTTCGATGTGTATGATCTACCATGCTTCGCCACACCCCTGCATAAAAATGTGAAGTAAAAACGCATGTTGACAAAAACAATGAGCTTGCAATGCTGGGCAGTTTCGAATGCACGTGGATTCCTCGGACAGGTTCAGTGCGATGAACCAACAGCGCAGAATCACTAGGAGACTCGTGCATCGTTCGTTTCGGTCACCACCCGGCAACCCATTCAATTACTAGCAGTGAAGAGCAAATATGAGTCAACAAGTATCATACTAAAGGGAACCTGAAGAGCTTTTCGAAAAAAAAAAAGAGTTAATGCTTGAGTCCCACATGTTCGTGCCTGCTGAGTCCAAACGTCACAGCCGTTTGGCCCAAAATATTCACTAAACGTAAACAAAAAGCCAAGAAAACAGAAGCGATCACTGTAGCAGCACGCCATGGGATAGTGACGCGTGAATCACCACTACGTCAAAAAAGGTCCATCTTGATTCTCGCTTGCTCCGTCGCTTGCGGAAGTTGTCGGGCGCCGTGGCTTCTGCTCTTGTAAATCGGGTTCGGCTTCTGATTTGTTTAAATTTTTCGGCGGATCTGAAAGGGGAATGTGTCCAGAAGACCCTCTACCGGACAAAGTACGCGTTCCAGCCGTTGGCAAAGCAGAAAAATGACCCGCCGCGGTAATACGTACGGGCAGACACGAGGAACCGCTTGTGCCGACGCGACATGGCCGGCTTCATACGTTCTGGAACATACTGACTGCTACTTATTGTAACGTAAAGCGTTGACAATTAACAGAGTGCTATTGATGGGACGCGTCAGGCCGGATTAGCTTGACCCTCCCCTAAACGGCCGTCATATGACGAGAATTCGGCACATACTGGCCTTCACGCTTGGCAGATGCTGGACACCTGAGCGTGCATGCTGCATTGTTCACCAAGGCTGAAGTGGTTTGACGGGATAGTATATCGGCTTGGGGCAACGGAGAGCTTTCCCTGAATTGAGACGAGTGATGAGACAGGGTCGCCGTTCTCCGGCCGCGATTACCTTGCGAACTACGCGAATAGCTGCACAGAACGTACAGTCGTCCTCAATATGAGCGTGAACACGCCGCCGTCGACCGATTGGTACTGCCAGCTTCAGCTAGCGGCTCTTCCACGAGTCACCGCGAGAATAAGCGCCTGCGCAGAAAGGACGGATGCGCTGTTGCGATAGCGTGTATCACCCCCGTTCTGGAATCTTAAAACCGCCCGCGGCCCG